TTAAAATTAAGTCCTTCCAGGATAACTACCAGGTGCCAGTTGGTTTGGGGACCAATCCAGACAGCTGTTTCTTACATCTGGGTCTCCCTCGGATTCCCTTTTGTCTCCTAACGTTTCTCCTTCCTCGAAAGTCTGCTTTCATCCAGGTTTCATGATTTTAGACAACCTTTTACTTTGGGGACTTATCCATGGTAGCCCCCAAGGTAGGGAATTTCCTCCCTCAAAGAGCCTCATCTTTCTCCTCTTCCCTCCAAAATAAGGTGGGAATAAAATATCTCTTTCCTTCACATTTTGAAAACTGACTGATTAGTCTTGTGTTCAGATTGCTGACTCAGCTCTCCTATTTATAGTTCTCCGGATTAATGTTTTTGATTTATTGATGTGCAAATTTGAGACCTTATTTAAGGCTTTCCAGTGGCCCACTGATTTTGCATGGATAGGTTTTGCAGAGCGGCCTTGACCGTAATTCCCTAAATCAGTGTTTCTCAACCTTGGCCACTTGAAAACGTGTGGACTTCAACTCCCAGAATTCCCCAGCCAGTCATGCTGGCTGGAGAATTCTGGGAGTTGAAGTCCACACGTCTTTAAGTGGCCAAGGTTGAGAAGCACTGCCCTAAATAAATAAAATCGATGCAATACATTTCCTGTATACCTGATGCACAGGCTATTACCATCTCAGTCTGCCAAGTTCCAAAGTATCGGAAGGTCCTGCCTTTTCGTTTCTGTGCACGTCCAGATGCTAAAGCGTCGATTATAGTTCCCAGGAGTTTTAAACATTTGTCGGATGGGTAGTAACGAACGCAGTGACCATTTCCAGAGACGGCAGAGATTATTATATCATCAGAATGTCTCTCTGCTTTCTTTGTGGAAAATCCACAGTTCCAGCCTTGACAAATGCAAAGCCAGGCCTGAAAATATTACATGAAGCAGCACCTGGATAGAGAGCGTTATGAACTTGCAGCAGTCAGGCTACACAGGACCAATTGTTACATGTGGTGTGAATTTTACCCTCCGTTTTAAAGGAAGGCACATAGCTGTGCACCCAAAAGGATGCCACTGAGAGGAATGAAACCTGGTATATAGATAAGAACATTTGGGTTCTTCTGCAAGTGGCTAAAACTCTCAGAGGAACCCTCCTCCCCAAACAGAAAAAAGTAGCAATGGGGCAGCCATTGGCCAGCGTTCTTCCCATAATGCTCTTTAGATATTCTGGATTAAAATTCTCAAATTTCCAAGATGACCTCTTTGGAGGTGGAGACCATATCAAGTTGAGGAAGGCTGGACCTCAGGCTTTGGGATTTTGCCCTGTTGCCCTTTGTCTCCTGAGTATATCCTGGCTGTGTGAAGAAGAAGGTTGCACTCTGAATCCCTTTTGGTCTGAAGGTGACTTGCATTGCATTGATTAGAGGGTTGTCTCACATCTATGGATGCTGATAAAATGATGTTGAAGGAAGGGCTGTAGGCTTGTAGCATCTCAGGGTCTTCCGAAGTTTCACTTTTTGCTAGGGAGAAAAAGAACATCTTCCGCTGGGGAGCAGGGCAGTGGCCTGTGGGTCATCTTCTCCCATCTTCATCAGACATGGAAAAAACACTTTGTGCAGTCTTCCAACTTTCTGGGTACCTCCCTCAAACCACCATTGGCCCTACACAGCTCTTTCTCTGGTTCTTTCCCTTTCCCTCTTCCCGAAGGTTGAGCTTCAGTTGTTCCAGCAAGGGTACCTTGCGTGTGTGAATTGGCCCACAGAGCCTGGGAGCCGTAAAGAGGGGAGGGGGACCCCTTGGGGTTCTCTTCCTCCCAAAGAAGCTAACAACAAACTTTGGGGGCATGACAGTAAACCTGACTGCATGGTGCCGTTTTGTTTGTGTGAATACAGGACAGTCTTTCTCTAGCTGACCTTCTTTTTCTCCCAGGCTTAATTCACATTTTTCTAACTGCCACTTTCCTTCCCCAAGGTCATCTCTGCACTTCTCTACCCCTCCCCAGCCTTTTTGGTCCTTCTAAGGTCCACTTTACTAAATCCTACATGCTTTTGTAATGTGACAATTCCAGTGTGCATCACGTATACCTGGAAAGGCTGCACTACCCCATCAATTGCAGACATCTGACAAAGGGGTTTCGCTGAGGTGTGGGGCATGGGGGGACAATAGGGGGGTGGCAGCCTTCCCCTTGACCACTTCACTCCATTGCTAACCCCTGGATCCCATTTCACCTGTTAACTAGCAGTTAGCATCCCATGCAAATTTATTTTTAAAAACCAAAACAAAATGAAAACGCAAATTAAGAATTGGGTGGTCTCTGCCAAAGCAAGCTTGAAAGTGTGTGGTGCTCCCACAGTATTTTCTCTGAAAACTTGGTCTCCAAACCATATGACATGTGAAAATATTGCTTCCCCCAGCACAACACTCACTAATTTCCAAGGGTGCCAAAAGCAAAGGAAGCCCGTATTTTCAGAATGGCAGAGAAGCAGGCTATGCCAGTGTTTCTCAACCTGAACATCTGTAAGATGCATGGACTTCAGTTCCCAGAATTCCCCATCCAGGATGTGTGGACTTCAACCCCCAGAATTCCACACATCTTAAAGTTGCTGACAGTTGAGGAACACTGGTCTACACAGGCCAGTGTTGTCCAAACTTGGCCACTTTCAAGATGTGTGGACTTCAACTTAAAGTTGCTGACAGTTGAGGAACACTGGTTCTACATAGACCAGTGTTGTCTATGTAGCATGGCTGGCTGGGGAATTCTGGGAGTTGAAGTCCACTCATCTTAAAGTGGCCAAGTTTGGACAACACCCCAGAATTCCACACATCTTAAAGTTGCTGACAGTTGAGGAACACTGGTTCTACATAGACCAGTGTTGTCTATGTAGCATGGCTGGCTGGGGAATTCTGGGAGTTGAAGTCCACTCATCTTAAAGTGGCCAAGTTTGGACAACACTGACATAGACGTTTCTTCTTGTGTGCCACTCAAGGGACAAAGGCCATTACATCTCTGTGTTTGATCTGGAAGCTGAGAGCTTGGAGGGGGCCTTGTTCCCCAGCTGGTGCCCAGCTCTCCAAAGTCAGCAGCCAGCACCCTCACAAGACACTGAAGCTCCTCCTGGACAGGCATCTTGCATGGCGCCCTCGTTTTGATGAGTGCTTTTGCTTTAAATGTGCCTGCTGCTGTTCAAAAATGATTGGATCAATCTTTGTGAAGTTGGCTGGTTGTGAAAAACTCAGGAGGGTCTGATCTGGTCAGGGCCTGGATGAGGAACCCCCAGGAGATGAATCCAGAGTCGTTCTGGAGTTGGGCACCATCAAATAAGACCAACCAACCAACCAACCAATCAGTCGATCGATCAATCAATCAATCAATCAATCAATCTCAGAGCTGTGGGCTAGAGCCGCAAGTCAAAACATTGTTCCACAAGAAGGGGAGGGCAAATCGCTTCCTTGCTGCTGCCAAGAAAACATCCTGGATGAGTCCCTGAAGACCCTGGGAGTCAGGTTTTACATGAGGAAGCCTTTAGCCTCCTCCAGGTTCGCTCACCAGAGAAGGAGGGGTGGCCTCTACTAGGGGCAGGGCCTTTTCTGGGGTGGCCCCATTGACGGGAAGCCCTCCCTAGAGAGGCTCGCCTGGTGCCCACCTGCGCTTCCTTTCAGCACCAGGCAAAGGCCTTTCTCTTTTCCCAGGCCTTTTCGTTGTACTTTAATTCATAGTGTTTTTGCTTGGGAATGACCACCCTGCAGCTGCCTCGTTTGGGTGGGTGGTGTCTTTATTTCTTTGCATTTTATTTGGTTTTACTGCCTACGTTTTTGGTGTGTGTGTTTTTTTTTTCTTTTAGTGTGTTTGATTTTCAACCGCCCAGAGAGCTTCGGCTATTGGGTGGTTTTAAAATTTAAATAAACCAAGGTGAGGGGCGCGAGCTGGGTATTTTCCCTTCATTTTATTCCACTGATTTCTTTTCCTGTCTTGCTCATCTTCCAGGGCCCGGGGGCGGGGGGTCTTCCAGCTGTTGTCTTCAGTCTGGGGCACTTCGCAGCTCTGTGGGCAAGTTCATCTCTTCCTCTGCCTTGACCCACAGAGTTTTATTCCCCCAAATCATGCTGCTGTGATTGATTGATGATTGATTGATTGATTGATTGATTGATTGATTGATTGATTACAGCAGGGCCATGGGAGAATTGATGCTGCTTGGCTGGGCTGAACAAAACCCAGTAAACACCATCTCCTTCTTTCATTCTGCCCCATCTTCTCTGAATAAATCTTTTAAATGCTTATTTTAAAAACTCGTTGGGGCTGAATGCATTCAGAGTTTGGGCCCCAAAGGTTGGAACTGCTGTAGGCATCGAAGCCCCCTGTGGGGGGGGGGCATTACAAGTGTTTTCAGGTTATATTATTGATATGGAAATAAGATGGGGTTCATATTACCTTTTTTAAGCCCTGCCTGATCTGGGTTTTGCATAGATCTGCCTGTCTATCGTGGCCATTCAGCTTGGCAAATGAGTCCGGCTCCTTCAGAGAACTTAAGATCTGGGATCTGTAGAGCTGGGATTATTGTCCATTGCTGGCCCCATCCTCCCACCAGTGGCTCTTGAGTTGCTTTCACTGAGGTTTGGCCTCGCTGGCATTCAAGAAGATTCAGGGAGCCACAGTTCTCACCGCCTTTAATGCGCTTCGGTGACGAATATAGATGGCCTCTTTGCTTGATGGGGTTGGCTTTGTTGCCGACACTTCAGCCGCGTTGTAGGAGGAGCAGCCAAACATCCGGAGGGGTCTGGTCGTACCTTTTCCAACGAACCCATTTTATTAAAAGGCAGAAGCTTCCATGAGCCATCATGAGCAGCAACTGCAGTGACTTTAAAAAAAAAAAATTACAAATGCTATTTTCAGGCTGGGAGAGAATGCCATCGCCCTCATTTGGGTGCACAGAGGGATGGTGAGCCCGGCACCTGCAGACGTGCCGGATCGCAGCCGCTGCGGCCCCTTAAAGACCTCTTTCTCCTTTCTCTCCCCCCAGTGGCATTGGGCTGGCTCGGGCCCATTTTGAAAAGCAGCCCCCATCCAACCTCAGGAAATCCAACTTTTTCCACTTCGTGCTTGCCATGTACGACCGTCACGGACAGCCTGTGGAGATCGAGAGGACCTCCTTCATTGACTTTGTGGAGAAGGACAGAGTAAGCAACTGATGCGCGGTTCTTTCGATCCCCCCGCAACACACACACACAGAAGAAATAGTCAAGGCAGGACATCCCCAAACCATTCCGGTTGCATTATTATGATTTTCTTTCCAGCAGCCGTCATTTTCCCATTCAGAGTCCGGCAGCGACTGGGGTAACATTGAAAATATCCTTGATGCCTCCCTGAGCTCCTTTTTAATTCATTTATTTATTTGGTTATTGAACGTTGGTAGCAAAAAAGAAAAACCGCAGGAGACGCCCGCAGTATAAAAGGAGTAAAAGAACCAAGTGCCAACAGTGAGACGCGAGCAGGTCCACCCGAGACTCTAAAATAGCACGAAAACAACTTTTCTCCAATCCATCATTCATGACCAATGGCACTGTAAACTATATCTATCCTTGAAAAAGGGGCGAAAATCCCTCTTAAGCCTTAACCCAAAGCTACTTGATTAACACAGTATACATCGCTAACTAAAACTATAAACTACGATACGTTCAGTCAGGGCTAGAAATCTAATTTTCCATTCAGTTAAAAGATGGGCTCTGTGCATGGACCCTGAGCTAATCAAGATGCCACAGGTGGGGCATTGAGTGCCATCTAGATTTTTTTTGACACACACACACACACACACACACACACA